AATTAGTATATAAATATATAAGAAACACCGCACATCATTTACCGTATCATTAGAAGAAAGGTAATTGTTAGCTTTCAGTTCACATTTTAATATGAAATACTAATACGTTAAGACAATATGCCATGCGAACGTAACCCTAGATTTATTTAAATTATGTAAAACGTACATCTGTAAAACGGGAGCCAATTTTACCAGGCACAAGCACGCCCGGCGAGTAAGAACTTAGGGGGAGGGCGTGTCACGTCTAGTGATGTCTACCCACTGTCAGTAACAAACACTATATGGTATTCGTCACCTAGCTACCACACCCATAAATCGATACCAACGCACGCTCGGTCAATCGCGTGCTCATCAGCCATTCCTGCTCCCTAACCTTACCCCCACCAAATTTAATAGCTGGCTTACGCTTGCAGCTGCACCTTTTTTCCAAGAATATGTTAATCAAATTTACCTCCACTCCTTGACTCACCACCGGTCCACCCCCGATTCTCGGTCCGATTTAGGGTTTACATAGAACCGCGCCCTGCGAGCTCGTCCTCTTTCCTGGAGAATTCGTTGACCAACAAAAAAGTTGCCAACATTAACTACAGTGAGTTATACTATGAAATTTCCGGTTGTCTAAATTATCCTTATGATATTCGTGATTCAATAAAGCAAGTTTTGCTGATAATTCAATTGAGCTTTTCCTTTCTTTTAATATATTACCGGCTTAACAGGCAATTCACTTTACTGGCCAACCCAGGAGAGCTGTCAGCTGCTAATTATCCATTACTCGAAAAGGTACTGGTTAATTACTTTTAATAATTTAATTTCATAATAAACACTGCTAAACACAAACTCATTTGCTGTCCACGCGCTGCTCGCCGCATTCAAATTCCCACGCGCTAAAGTTACGTCGAAGAGCCATGACGTAACAACATTCTCGACTTGCGACTCGTCTGTGCACACTTCTATGCTATACAATTACACATATCCGCACGTACATGCTTTTCTTTACTCGTTTACTAGTAAGCACAAGCATTGACTCTCACCTTACAGGCTCATTCTCCCAAACAGTACAATAACAATATGACATCCCATACCTACTTATGTCATGATTTCAAGGAATCACACCATACATGTTTTATCGTGCATAATGTTTTTTTGTTTATGAATAGGTATTGGGTGCTTTTTTACAATCTTAAATTTTTTAATGATACTGATAACATTTTGTTTACCGTTTCAAAACCGAAGCTCATTAGATTGCGTACAACGATGGAGAAACATGTACGCTTTTACCTTAATTCTCACTTTCAGTGTAAAAAAATTGTAAATTTTTGGTTCCTTTTACTTGCACAGAATCCAGCATTTGACGATAATTTTAAAATTAAACGGAATACACTGTACTTGATATACACACTGTTTTCCTTAATTTTGAATTATTTAAATTTCACAGAAATGAAGAAAAAGTTGGTCTGCTAGTAAACGTAGAAATAATATTATACTATCATTAGAATTTTTTGATATTTCTAAGGATTTTCTCCATAAAAAAAATAAGTATTTATACTTAATTTTCATTTTTTAAGGCAGTAAATAATGCAAGTTTTGAATCATTAATCCATTCTGAATTATCGTTGGAATTCGTGTAATAAATACTCTCTTCTTCCTTCTGTACATATATTTTTGCAATTTTACAATCTTAACTAAAGTTGATGGACAACTGTTGTCGATTTTGCTAATATGATACCCAAACTTGATGTGAGAATAATTAAATAAAACATAATTTTTTTGGAAACAACTATGATTAAACAAAAGTAGATATTTTATCTACAATCATTATTTATGCTTCTTTCTTCTTTACTAGCAATATAGATAAAATCAATCAAAACTGCGGGACTACTTTTACATACTGATACAATCACTTCTTTTTCTAGTAGATACATGAAAATTGTTCGTAATGCATATTGTTTCAAACATTGCTTCCCATCTGCAGTTTTCTACCACATTCAATTTTGAAAATGAGCTCTGATAATTTTTATACTCATACAGTAAAAAAATAAATAAACGATCTCATTGTATTTTTTTTACAAGGATTAAGAAAAACAATGACATACAAGTTAATTTAGTCCTAGTATCAACACTTTAAAATTGTATTCATTAATCCAACTCATTCCTATTTTAGAATTAGTGGATATAAGATATATTTAAAATTCTTTGTCTGGCGAATTTGTATACTTTCCTGCATAAAATCCACTTATATTCAATAACTAATAGCAAAATTTTGTTAATTTTTTCCATAAAAACTCGTATACATTTATAGTCATATGTTAGCAAGTAGCATAAAAATCTGATTTTTACTGTAAGAAATTTTATTACTCATTGTTTAGCTAATATATCTGCTTAATACAAACATTCTAAAGATTTTAAGCATTTTAATTACGCAACTCGTAGATTCCTAACATATTGAAACAGTTGTAAAGGTTACATTACTTTGATCAAGTTTTTTTTATATAAAATATTAATTAGCTTGATGTCAACATTTGTTAACGTTACTATCTAGTTTTTACATGTTTGGTTACATGTTTTCTTATACTTCGTGTCAAAAACATAATCTAACGGTTAAATTTCTACCAGCCAATTGTCTCTGTCTGATTTCTGATAAATAATACCAAGTTATGTAAAAGTTATTCACTTGTATGGAATTTCATTTCTAACTTTTTATGATATTTTTACTACTTTAAGGACTTAATTACTTGTGGTTGAATTTTACACTAGATCTTTGATGTAAAAGTCCTAGCCTATCTTCTACTATCTTAAAAATTTTGAACAGCAGGGGGTTGCTGAGTTGACATGTAATACCCATATTTATTAGTGGGGTTACACCCTCCTATGTGCTCGGTGCACCAACCTCCAGTCAAGTTTTATGCAAATATTGAATTTTACCAGCTACGCATGTCTAGCTACAGCTACAGTATGAATACAAAAGACAGAAACGTAGCTTATCCTTTTACTCTAACTGATGTCATCAAATAGCTATAAAATTGTTTTTCCCACTTTTTCTCTCCGATAAAGATTCTTCTACACTTGAGGTCGGTGCAAATAGATTTTCCCTGACGCAGTATGCTTTGCTTCACTCTTTTACTCATCTCGTAGAGGTGCCACATACTAAATTCTACTATAATAATAATTGCATGTGCCCGATATTTTCTAGGCTATTTTAAGATATTTGGCAAATACTTACAATTAATAGGAAGTTGGTAGGTACTTGGCAAGTTGTTTTAAACTATCTCTTCGAACATTTTAAAAAATTTCTTGATTCTTAATAAAGAGCTCATAAATATTAAGGTTAAGAAACTTATCAAAAGTATGTTCAATTTAACCTCTTTGACTTGAGTTTACTGGGGGTAAATGTCTTCATCTCGCCATTATGGACAATAACTAGTAGTCTAGTGTTAGTTTTATTGCCATATGTTACTTGCTTGCTTCGGATATAATAACAAAATTCAGCTTTCATTCACTATGACTGTTTACTTTGTGCAGACGTTTTAGTGAAAACACTCAGAATAGGCATAGTTTGTTTACCATTGTCAGTTTCATTATGCGAATAATATTAGTAACTATACTTGTTTAGAATTATCATCGATTTTCCGCGATAATTAAGACTATAATTCCGTACAACTTAAGACATCTTAAATATTTACATTTAATATTTTAAAAATTTTAATTAGTTATTTAAAAGTCACACATTTAATGTATTTATTTATAAGCTGACCTACGATCCAATAATAATAATTATTATTCTTCTCGTTTTTAGGATTCAAAGAGAGATGGTTCAAACTAAGATACAATTTTTTATTTTATCAAGACAATTATCAGACAGGGAAAGTTGATAAAACAAATCCCACTGGTGTGATTTTATTAGAAAATTATAATGTAAATGTCAGTATGCTGCACGATAATTCTTTTGCTTTTAAAATAACTTTTAGAAATGAACCCCAAAAACATCACATATTAAGTGCACGATCAAAGTTACAGATAGAACAATGGATAAAATTCATCAAACAAGCTAGTTATGGATACTGGCGATTACAGCTTACAACATTACAACAAACTTTGTTTGAAAAAACTGGAGAAGATCCTTTATTAATGTACCCAAGAAATAAAGGTATCATAAGGGATGAAGCATGGCAGGATAAATCGAGTTTTAAGTCACATATAAAGTCTTTTGCTTTTGTAGCACCTTTGTCTACAATAGAAGCGTCTACAACTGAAATTGATTTAATCAATTTTACGTAACAAAAAGTTTTTTCTTTATCTTTTTATTGAAAGTTTTACTTTCAAATACAGTCAATAATTGTTGTTGCAAAAAACTTTCAATCTCTAACCACACAGAAAAATAATAAATAAAAACGAACCACTGTAATGTATGCAAAAAAAAATCATTCGAGATTGGAAAAATATCAAATCTCTTAATTATATCAACATATAGCATAAAGTAAGCTCTTATTTAAATTAACACTTCATGAGGATTGATCATTTTATGTTCATAATGTTTTATTATTAAATAAAATATTCTGTATTTAGATAATAATAGATACATTTAATGATTGGGTAAAATTTTTTGTTATGTATATATTTTAGTATCGCTTGGTTTTACATACGGTTAAGTAATGACTTGTATAAATATAGTATATTACGTATCTAGGACAGAAACTGGGGTCATTAGCTCCACTTTTTGGCCATAGAACGTATACTTCCTTTCCTTACACCTCCGCCGAAAGTTCGAAACAAATATTTATATGATTTGTACTCCTCGTTGTACTCATATTAATGATTCTCGTCATAGCAGCTCTGCTGAACGTGTGTTTGCATGCATACGCGTCTACATGTCTGTTTTTCACACTCGTTATACTTTTTTAACCTCTACCTCTGCGCTGTATGCAGCAGCCACGTTCCTGTGACAGTCGATCATTTCATTTAAAAGTCAATTTATGCTGATGTTTTTTATTCATTCATGAAAACACAAGGAAAAAATAACTATAGCAGAAACTATCGATGATCTCGCGCTATCAATGCAATAGTATCTGATCGGAGCATTTAATACATCACATATTTCACTAAAGCATAATGATCATGCGACGTCATTTGCCTGTTTAATATACAAATGTGAAAAAAATAACGTTTAAGAAATGAAATAGTTTACTACTATAACATTGTGATATGACGTATATTATTTAGATGCGTTTTACATAAACAAAGTTCTAATAATTTGTTAACAAATCTTTGTTTTGCTTATGTTACTTGTGTACTTTGTGGCTCTTAGAAGTTTCAAGTGACAACCGAAGCGAGCTGCTAAGCCTAAACACATGAAATCAGCAAGTACCAGTCCCATAGCATGTAAGACAAAGAAGTTTTGACTGAAACTTCGCGCAAGGTGAATTTCTTCGAGCAGCGTTTGAGTTAGTAGCTTTCCACCGCTCATAGAGTGTAGACTAATTGTTAATTAATTTTGTGAAGTGTGTCACTTGTCAATTTTCTTACGTGGCCTGAAATCGCTCCCATTGATATTGATATAAGCGTAAAAAAGTCTAAATAAAGATCTATAAATCTCCATGGAAAGAAAAATAAGGTAAACCAATTTTATATCCCCTAATACCTTTATATACACACAGTATATCTTCGTCATTTTTTTTTTAATTTTTCTTTACAAGTTAATAACCGAATAGTTGCACCGTGGATCCAAATCCCAAAAAGCAGCCCAAAAATTAAAAAACCAGTGGGCACTAAGTGCTTGGATACCCAAGTAAGAAGTTACACTTCTATAAAATTATATGGCAGATAATATAATTATAAATATAAATATACATAAATATACATACCTTCTATGAAATAATATTGTGTACAAAGGAGGTACAATTATATCGATGAAATAGGTATACCTACGTTAGTTGGGTGTAGTTTTTAATTAATATTTTAATATTTTGTAACTTAATAACTATAAACAATACATTATGGCACAGTACAATATAAACAATGTGGAGGCTGGCCGGTACAAGACCGTGCATAGTATGGCCTGCATAGTATGGTCTAACCAAAAGTATACTAAAAATACCATAAAAAATACCCAAAAAAATTACAGATCGTTCAACCGTACCAACTGTCAATTATATTGTAGATTTTATTTAACACAAATTTTTAATTGAGAATATCTATTTCTCAACCAAATAACACAAACGGGAAAGTATTATTCCCGTTCATATAACATATGAAAATGCTGAGTGGGTAGAAGTCATACGATGCACAGTAGTATACTGCATAACTCAGCACCCAAAAGATTTGAAAATAGGAAAATCAAAGAACACAAATATTCATACATGTACGGAGAACGAAAACACATGAATGCAACTGATTTCAAAATCTAATTTCCTTCCTCATAAATTAATGGCAAAAGTTCCAGTAATGATGACACAAATAAAACAGACGAGGCTTATGATGATGTTCAGCCCGTTAATCAACATCATATATGATTCATTAGACAATAAATGGAGTAATTAAAAAACGATGTACGTGATCTTTGCTACGTATTGTAATCAGTCAAAGATAAGAGCCCTTGATGGACTCAATGCTCACGGAGTTCGATATTCAGAGTATAACAATCGTGGCAAATCGGTAATGACGATTCATCCTTCATATAGAAATGTAATATATAAGGCGGATATTGGAGTCCATAGCCTTCTATGTAAAGCACAACGATATATTCAGAAAACTTACCCATATGCAAAGATAGCGTCAGCTTAGTGAAGTATGAATGGCACAACAGCTTGTGTCTTGAAAGTAATGTCACAGTAACTATCGAAGTATTAAATGAATTAACTATGGGACAACAAAAGAATAAGGGAAACCCTACAATCTTGACAACCCAAAAATGTAAAAGGCGAAAAGGAGTTTGTTTGTGCACAGAACAAAAAAATTATGAACACCGGAACATTAATCCTTGATTATAATAAATCCAGAATCATGACTAATCATGTTATCATGCTTTCCTTTTGCAGAATCCTAGATACATGTAATAATTTTACAGACTAACTATTTCTTACTTCATTATATAACTTTACGTTGTCTTCTTTACATTAATACTTTAATGCTATCAAAAAAACAACTACAAATAATGTAATATGTTTATTGTTATAGTAATAATAATTGTTTTGAAAATATATAAGTAGTAATGGGGCTCTAGCCCCCTCCCCTGCACTCTTCGCACGTCAACTCTATTAATGCATTATAATCCTTTACATAGACTTCGAGGTGGCAGGCAAATGGTCTCAAAAAAAAAAAAATTTGTTTTCAATTAAAAAATGTGAATTCTATAAGTAATAATAATAATAACCAAGAAATACTAAATGTCTCTCACATAAGTTAAGTATGGTTGTTATAAGAAAATTAGCTTTAGTTGGTCTGAGGTAAGCAATAAATAATGGCTTACAATAGAAGTAACTTTAGAATGATTATTTAATTTAATAAACAAAAAAATTCTAGCATAGTACTTGCGATATTCTTACAGAAGTATTATCGTTCATCAGTTTTATTTTTTTTTTTATGTATTTTCATTTACATAAATATTTTAATATATCAATAGGTTCACATTGACATTTAATCTTCCGTTCAAAATAGTTTGAATCTGTGTTCTGAATCAAAGTAAAAAAAGGATTTATCAGACATAACTACAGTGTATTGCGTTTTAAATTTTTGGTCAAACAGAAGCCAATGTATCATTTTACCGTACGTGTGGTTTCTTCATTCCAACACGTAATATTATTTGTTATAACTATAGGCATATAAAAAATATAGACTGCTTGTTGTTATGTACGGCGCTGAAGTACAAGTAGAAGGAGACACGCAACATCGAACGTGGGTATATGTCTCTCTCATACATTTCCAAAGGTGGGAATGTAAGTTGCTGACGTCTTGGGTCTGAAATGATCATCGAGCTTCCATCCTCTTCAACACTATCTGCGCCTTGTAGTCACCTTACTCTTAGCCTCTTGTAGTGCCTTTCTGAATACTGGGCAGCTGCCGCTAGCTGCTCCGTGTTTGGCACCTTCTGTTCCGCAAGTGAAACATCGGGCCTCCTTCTTGCAATCTTTCTTGCGGTGATTGCAGCTACTGCATCAGCAGCATAGCTTCGACTGGTCCTCCTTATCATAGTTTCAGACTATGTATCCATACCCTCAACACCGATAGCATCTAAGGACTTTAACCCATCTCCTCACTCGGCAGCTTGTAAAGCATATTAATAACCTCTTTGTTGCTTCTATAGTTCTGGCATCGATCTCTCTAGTGTTTACCAGAGCTACCATCTGACTTTTCTTATTCGCTCTTAGCAGCATCACTGTTTTCATTTGTAGCAAACGACCAGGGATTCTATTCAACACAAGTTCGATGTCAGCCTTCTCGGTAATCGGATCCAGATCCCGGATTTCGAGCAATACCCTTTTCTTATCTGCTTTAACGGATCCTAGCTCTTCCTTGGTCTTAGCCATTCTGCAATATACAAAATACATACACAAGGGCCTCTCTGTCCTTTACTCTTTTAACTTTGTGAAGAAGATCTCCTTTTTTAGTCGAAGTGACCCCTTTGACTGTGATCTCAGCCTCTTTTGGCTTAAAATCAGTCCTCANTTTATAGATTTAAAAAACAATTGTTTGCCTCTTCTCTAATTGCAGAAAATATCCAAGCAGATAATATTTAAAAAACATTTGTAATCATATTATTGATTATATAGTATTTCCGAAAAAAAAGTCTTCTAAGTTCTTTTAACTTCACCTTAACATCCCAATATGTAATTCTAATTAGGCCTAATATTAACTACAGATAAAAATATTCAAACAAGTAATAAAAATGAAAAAATGGTGGTTATACTCTCTAGCCGTAATAAATCTTAAATCGTAAATCACGATTTTCGAAAGTATATGTGAACAAATAGATACAATTTTTGTTGTTGATGGCCAAGGAGGTTCAGAAAAACACCCTTACATGAAATATTAATTTGTTATTTCGTTTCTCAAGGAAAAAATTTTTATCGATGGTATGTACTGATATAGCATCAATATTACTTCGAAAAGTAATGACCAGTCATAGAATATTTAGTTCAACATTTGACTTAAGCAATGTAGAAAGTTCGTTCTTGGAATTTGAATCCCAAAAAAAATTAAAAGAAGTAGATTTTATTATATAGAACGAGACTTCTATGATCCCAAAAAAGCCTTTTAGAAATACTTGAAAAAACATAACGTGATTTATGTGATACAAATATCCGTTTTGATAATAAACTAACAGTTTTGAAAGGTGATTTCAGACAAATTCTTCCAGTTTTAAAAAATAGTAATAAAAGCATGATTATACAAGTGTGATATCCCATTGTGGGGACCTTCACACATGCATGCACACTACTGCTCTCCGTCCTTCCCAACGATCCGCTAGGTATCTAACTATTAAAAACTAACCTACTCGCAAGTGT